AAAACCTTAACAAATTAAAACAAGCCTGAATTGTCAACGGGCTTAAAAGTTTTATGCAATTCGCAGTGCACGCTACCATTCCAAAACTTGGTCCCACAGCTTGGATCTACCTTCGTCATTGACTTTCTGACGGTACAAAAAAAAGTTGACTTCAACTTTCTTCTAAGGTTGAACCCAAATCTCAATTTCTCAGTTTCCTTGCACCTGCTTACCTAGTTACCAAATCAGATAGAAATGAAACAAACATTCATTTTTCTTCATCATAAACTTACCGACGGTGAATACTACACATGCATCTCTGCGTAACATTTCTTCTTTGTGCCGTTGCGTACGGCATTGGCCGCATTTCAGAGCCAGATCTGAGAGCTGTTAACTTTGCCGGCAAGATAGAAGGAAAAAAGCTGAACGGAAGCCTGATAAGAGAAATAGAAGTGGATTCGGAAAGTTCCTGTCAGCTTGAGTGTGTAGATGAAGAGCGATGTCAGTCTTACAACTTTGGAACCATAGAGGGCAACTCAGGGAAATTCAGATGTGAGCTAAGCGACTCTGATCGATTTGTTGGATTAGCTAACTTTACCAAGGATGAACATTTCATTTACAGAGGAATAATGGTAAGCTAAATTTCTTTTAGTGTATCAACAATTACTCGTGGCTCAATGTTTGAATGTTATTATTTAAAATCGAAGCTGGATCTCTTTAGAATGTTTTCTAACTGTGATACATCAACCTTACTCTACCTAAAATATGTCGCTGAAGTTTTTAAGAATCTAAGATTCTTGCGGCAACCTGGTGAGAAATTTTTTCGATGTTTGCGTCAGGGAAAGAAGCCTGCTAGAGCCATGATAGACAGAAAAAGTTAGACTTTGATAAAAAGTACTAAAACCATTTCAAGGAAATAATTTTTGCAATGAAGAGCTAGTAATCGCGAGTTTGTACAATAGGAGAAATAAACCTTGCTTTATTTTTGACATAAATCCCGCTGATGAAGATTCCAGCGTTTTCCACTCGTACATCAATCGATTTATGGAAGTTTTGCCCCGTCACAAGTTCGCCACTTAAAGCAATACAAGTTTACCCCAAATCTTTCAGCGCGTAGTTTTAAAGTAAGCCAAGCTTTCTAATTCATAAAATTTTCTCCCGTCGTCAGCCCAAAAAACTTCTCAAATAAAAGAAGACCACAATACGCTAGCGACTTTTCATAATTTTTAATAATACAAAAAAAAAAACAATTGCACAATCTGAGTTCAGTATTTACTTAAGATATGTTATTCGCTTGTAATTTGATGTTGTAGCATTGAAATGCCGAATTATTTTTCTTGAACTTACTGATAGAGTTTGTCTTCATGTCGTGTTAGTTTTGTAAGGAAGTGGAAAATATATTCATAGAGTTTCGTTACCACTTGGATCCTCTTAAAGCCGTTGCTCGACGAAATCATAGTTACTTAAGGCAATGATAGGATAGGGAAAAGGATAAGTGAACTCTTTTCAGGAATTTATCCACATCGTGTGGTATTTTTCGCCCTTTTTTTCATTTAATAATTAATTTTGTTAAAACATGAGCTCGAGAAAAACAAATCATGCGAACCAGGTCAGTGGGTTGCAGCAATGCAGGTAACGTCGAATGATAAATTTTGCAATAACACAAACCACCTGCATTTATATACAAAGCTGATTCCTTTGTTAAAATGATATAATGTACACCTTGCGAAGTACAGCATTCACATGGCGACTGATCAAAAATATTTAGATTAGAAAGCAAAAATAAAATTAGAAGGTAGAAACGTAAAATTTTTCCCTATAGATACAGGTTTACAATACGACAAACTGATGCTGTCAGGATCTTTTTCTGCATTCATCATTTATCAGAAGCCATCTCGGAAGTATTTCATAGTTATCAGTTTCATTTTTATTTCCATTAAATACAAATATTAATTTTTCGCTTCATTTCAGAATTCTCTATAAATATGTCAGGGGTATTACGTCCCTAAAAAATACCTATATTTTATTCACCAGACGGGAGGTTCGTATTGGGAAAAACTGTGCCCGAGGTCCTGGATGCCGCCCGAGGCCGTAGGCCGAGGGCGGTACAGAAGACAGAGTGCACATTTTTGCCCAATACGGACCGACCTTGGCTGGTGAATGACATTTTTATTTTTTTCTAAAACCTAACAAATGGTTGCGAAAAGAACCTGAGTGAACCCGCCCGCTGTGAGCGTGCCGAATGGGGAGAATACTGCCCGCTCTCGGAACCAATCAGATTGCAGGATTTGTAGAATACCGCCCGCTCACGAACTGAGAAAAAAATAATTACACCCTACTCGACGGTTTAACATATAATACGCGCGGATGTTTTGCGAGTTGCGCAGTATTTTTTTCGAATCTCGAAAGGTCATTATTACCCACCATTATTTGAATTTTAAGAATTTTGATTTTGGTTTGCGAAATACATCCTATACGGCCTCAGCTGTGCATTTTATCGATCGCATAAGGAGTATTAAAAAAACAACCCGAACAAGACAACCAAAGTGGTACTTTGTGACCAAAAAAAAAAGTTGTCGCGCTTAAAAGTTCGTTTCTCTAAAAGTCAAGCCTAGGAAAACTAGCAAAAATATCAAAGTTTGGATCGTTCAGTA